GGTGTGGTGGCGCCAGCCGGTAGCCCCAGCTACCGGGGAGGCTGAGGCAAGAGGGTTGGTTGAGCCCAGGCATTTGAGGTTGCAGTGAGCCATGACTGTGGCACTGCACTCTAGCCTGGGTGACCGGGTCAGACTCTGTCTCCAAAAAAAAAAAAAATAAATAAAATGCAAAAATGCGCAAGAATAAGATAAGAAACATAAGACTGAAATAACGTATCTGTTATTGGATGTCTAAACTTTTACAGGATTTACTGCAGGATTACTACAAAGGGAAAGAAACCTCAATGCCTCCGTTTTCAGATGAGTTTTTTTTTTTTTTTTATGCTCTTTATTCTTTTTTTTTTTTTTTGAGACAGAGTCTCACTTTGTTGCCCAGGCTAGAGTGAGTGCCATGGCGTCAGCTTAGCTCATAGCAACCTCAAACTCCTGAGCTCAAGCAATCCTGCTGCCTCAGCCTCCGAGTAGCTGGACTACGGCAAAAAAAAGAAAGAAATTAATTGACCAACTAATATACATAGAAAAAATTAGCTGGGCATGGTGGCACATGCCTGTAATCCCAGCTACTCAGGAGGCTGAGGCAGGAGGATCGCTTGAGCCTAGGAGTTTGAGGTTTGCTGTGAGCTAGGTTGATGCCATGACACTCAATCTAGCCTGGGCAACAAAGCAAGACTCTGTCTCAAAAAAAAAAAAATTATGAAATGGAAAGATCAGACCTTGAGGTCTGAGGCTTAATGAGTAGGCATGGGCATTAATTTTATTTTTGTTATTAAGATTATTTAAACTCTATTAAATTAAAACTCTGAATAGGGGATGAGAAAGGAGGACGAACAGTTATTGAGACCCTTAGTATTCACCAAGGGCTGATTTTTTACACGTATTATTTCAGTTAATCTTCTGAACTCTATTACAATTAGAAATTTAATAATTTTTCAGTATATACCATATACTGGGCACTTTGCTAGGGGTTTTTTATATTTCTTTTCTCATTCAATCTCACATTAATAAGGTAAATATTATTCCCATATTAAAAATGAGAGAATTGAGGATGAAAAGAATTAAACCATGTGCCCAAGATTTCCAAATTTGGAAAATTGTAGTGAGAAATAAAGTTTAGGTTTGACTAATTACAAATGTCATGTCCTTTCTAGTTATTAATTTTTTCAGTTTTTTTTTATTTCAAATTCAAAAACACTTTTGCTATAGTGACTGAGACTGTACATGAATAGGGATTTCTGGGATGCCCACAATGTTCTGCTTCAGGATCCAGGTGGTGGTTATTTGGAAGTGTTGAGTTTGTGAAAGTTCATTGAAATGATACCATTTGTGAGCTATTTTGTATGTATAGTAAAATGTTACTTAAAAAAATTAATGCTGAATACAGAAAATCCAAAAAAACAGACAGGCACAAAGGGGAAAAATTCACCGGTAAGCTCACTACTAAAAAACTAACAGTTTCAGAAGCTGATTCACTATGGGAGAAAATTATGGGATTTGAGAATATTACTAACAAGGAAAGAAACCTCAATGCATCCGTTTTCAGATGAGTTTTTTTTTTTTTTTTGAGACAGTGTCTCACTTTGTTGCCCAGGCTAGAGTGAGTGCCGTGGCGTCAGCCTAGCTCACAGCAACCTCAAACTCCTGGGCTCGCGATGCTTCTGCCTCAGCCTCCCGAGTAGCTGGGACTACAGGCATGCGCCACCATGCCCGGCTAATTTTTTCTATATATATTAGTTGGCCAATTAATTTCTTTCTATTTATAGTAGAGACAGGGTCTCA